TCTCTTGAATTCACCATCCAAGTACTCTCAAACTTTGTATGGTTGTTAGAAATCAGGTTTTCTAATCAAAGTATAATCAATCTTATATCAAATTATAATTCTAATAATTATTAGATTATTTTTTAATTTTAAACCTAATTTTATCACACTACTAGATTTTCTAATTAAAAAAAAACTTCTTAAGCTTTTAGTACCAATATGTTTTTTTTTAATTTTATATTTTTTATATTTTATATTTTTTAAAAAATTAAACAAATTATTAATTTATAAAATTTTATTTTAATCCAACTAATAAATTGCTAAAAATATAATAATTTTTTTTCACTTTTAAATTCTAATTTTTGAGATCCTAATCCACTTAAATTCCAATAACTTTTAATCTAGTTGTTTAGTAAAGTCCAAATGTGTAACACATATACAATACAATTTTATTCACAAATCTATAGAATTTTGCATATAGGTATACTAAAAAAATCACAAAATATCTAAAAATAAAATTTTATTTTATTTCTTATTGATAATTTTTTTCATTCTAATCTTAACTTTGCATAGCTCTTGTTAAGACATCACAAACTCAAGTCACTTGAAACCAATGCTAAAAGCAACCTTTTGAAGTATGCTTTATAAAACCACTCTCCAATCAACAAAAGAACCGTTTATGTGCTATTGGTGCCTAATTTTGCACCCCAAGATCTAATTTTGACCATAATTCATAACTAGTCCTTGTTAAGTGTCAATTTGAGGGTTTTTTTAGTAATTTTACTAAATATAGTCTTTACTTTTATTTTAAAATGCTTATAATATTATTTTTATTAATCTAACTTATCTCACCTTATTTTTTCTTTTCTTTAGTAAGTCTTATTTTAAGCTCTTTTATAATATAAGTCTTATATTTTTCTTTTATTTAATAGCTCTATTACAATACAACCATGAAGAAAAATTATTTAGAATTTATTAAATTAAATTTTTTTAAAAAAATTAATTGATAGCATTTTTTTTTTCAAATGGTTGAAAAATTAAATTTTCATATTTTACCAAATATCTTTAAGTATGTCCAATTGTTTTTGAAATATCTTGATTTAAGATATTTTTTTCACCAATTACATTTATTAGCTTATTTGAAAAGAATAAGCCAAAGAAAACATCCAATATTACTAAGATATTAAAAAATATTTTATTGATTAGATATCATCTATTCTTGATTTGAGAGTTGAACTATTATCAAACACAAATATAAAAAACTGAAAAAAAATCCTTATCTACAATGTGCATATTGCAATCTAAGTTACCTATAGGGCATGTTTTAAACATTGAGATAATTATTTTTTGAGTGGCCAACATTATAAATTGCAATCTTTTAGACAAAAAACAGTGACCTCTAGCTTATTGATCATTTGGAATATTTATTTTTATTCTACATTGTTGATAAATTATATCAATTTATTTATTTTTATAAAAATAAAAATAAAAATAAAAATTTTGATACTTTGAAAATTTTATTTTAATTCAATCGGCACCTTACTGCAAATTTTATAAATCTTTAATAATCTTTTAAACTCTAATTTCTAAGATTCCAATACTTTGAAATTTATTAACCTTCAAATAAATTATTTGATCAATTTCAAACTTACAACACATATTCAATATAATAATGGTCATCTAATCACAAAATGTTATTTGTGGATTATCTATTAGTCTTACATAATTCTCCAAAGTATAAATCCTTTATATTTAAAAAAAATCCAAAGCCACTCCAAAATAACCTTAACTTAGCAAAGCCTTTACAAGTCATTACAAACTCTAATCATTCAAAACTAATGCCTAAAGAATCTAAATTTGGCCTCCTTTCAAATTTTACTCTCCAATCAACAAAAGAACCTCAAAATCATGATAAGTATGTAGTTTTGTTTTATTTGATTTTAATCCTGGTTCACAACTGATCTTAAATTGGTATCAATTTTAGGTTTTTTTAGATAATTTTTATTTCAAACTATTATTTATTCATTTCAAAGATGACTATGTTAATTTTTTTATATATTTTATTTTATCTCATTAATGGTTATATTAAATAAATAGAAGCCTATTTTACAAAGTGACAGTATTAGTAGTTATTAATTCTAATATCTTATTGAATATTATCTACATTTATAAGGTAATTTTCTAAAATATTTTTAATTGAGATTTTCTATAGTATAATCATTCATTTTTTTCTCCTAATAGCCATGTTATAATACAACAATAATTCAATTAATAGTTTTTAGGATTTTAAAATTACTATAAGACTTTGGTTAAGATTTGGTTGGTATTTTTTTAAGACATATTTAGAATTTGGTTAGTCTTTATTTGGATTATTTAATGGATTTATTTAGAACTATAATAAATTTTAATGAAGATTTATTAAAGATTTGTGTTTTTAGAATTTTTTAAGCTTTTATATTATTTCTTTAATATTTTTATTCTTAATTTTTTATTTTTTTATATTTCTAAATATTTTTACTTTTAAAGATTTTTTATTATTTTTCTATTATTTATTTTTAAAATACTTTTTAAAGATTTATTTATGGTTTTATTAAAGTAATTTATAGTATTTTAATATTTAATTTAATATTTTATAAAATTTTAAAGATTTCTTAAGAATTGATTAAGAATTGATTATGATTTTTAATGTTTAATTGAAATTTATTTAGGATCCTATTAAAATTTTTGAGACCTTCACTATTATAAGTTCTAATTTATCTTCCATAACTAAGTAGTCAATGCATTCTCAAGACATCATATAAAATCATGGAAGTACCACATGATATAAGTTCTTGAAGTAGCTATGTACAATACTTTGTAAACAAACTCCAAATTGCAATTTATCAAGATAATTTCATCAAAGAAAAAAATTACATTCAATCTACATATAAAATAATATCAATTATATCTTTGATTTAAAACCTAGACTTGATTTCGGATGTTTAAACATCACAAATAGATTGTTGCACACCTTGATATAATATTTTTAGAATACTTTGTCATCAAAGCAATGAAAAATATGTTGTTGTGTTGTAACATGACCCTTGAGTGAAAGATTAAAAGAAGATTATACTACACAAGAGCTTTAAGAAAAATATTATAACAAATTATCTTAAAAACATAGATAATAGAAAAAGAGGTAGTAAAAATTTATAAGTATTGATGTTATCTTTTGTAAAAATGACTTCTATTTGCATTGAAGGGCCATAAACGAGGCAAATCAAAGTGCATAAGAAAAATAATTGATATAAACATCTTTAGGAAGAAGTTAAAAATAGTTTTTAGCAATAATTACCTTAAGAAACTAAGAATTGGTACTCAATGAAGATTAATCCCAAGGCACAAAACCATGCACCTATAACAATTCTAGATTTCTTTTATTAATTAGAGACTAGAATTTGAGAGCAAACTTATAAAAGGTTCTTAAGACATTATTTTTGAGTGATTTTAATTTTTATTGACTTCATAAAGGCTTTGCAAAGTCATGATTGTTTTGGGATTGTCTTTGGATTTTTAAAAATATAAAGAATTCATATTTAAGAGAATTGTGTAAGATCAATAAATGATCTTTGGTTGAAATTTTGTGATTATGTGATTAATGTTGTTTTAGATTTGTGTCATAAGTTTGAGTTAATCTAATGGTTTATAGAATGGTTATTGAATTTCAAACATACTAAAGTCCAAGAAATTGGAGTTTAGAAAATCAATGCGGGTTTCTAAGATATACAACAATCTGCCTATTGGATTTTATTAAAATATTTCATAGTAGTATTTGATTCAATTTTAAATAACTTTGCAAAGTTTGAAAGCAATTAAATGGTGCGCTAGGAGATTGGAACCAAAGTTGGAGAAGGTCAGCCAACACCAAAGCGGATTTTTGATTTTTTTTTTTTATTTGGTGATTTTGATTGCCTTTGAATTGATTTTTCTTGTTTTTAGTTGAATAATTCAAAGGTATGCAAAATCTGAATTTAAATCAATTATTAGATAATTATTTTTTGAGATATCAATCTGAAATAGGATTGATTAAGAATTTATTTAAGATTTAAAATTTGATTAGGATTTTATTAAAATTTAGTTTAAGTTTTAAGGTTTAATTAAGATTTGATTAGGATTTATTTTAGGATTTATTTTAGAATTTGATTAGTACTTAATTTAGGGCTTAATTAGGATTTGATTTAAGATTTGATTAGAATATGAATAGGATTTAATTTAGAAATTAGGATTTGTTTAAGATTCATTTGAGGTTTTAAATTTCAATTTTAAATATTTTTTAAAGATTTATTTGATATTTTTTAGGATTTCTATTTTATTATTTCTTTAAGATTTTTTATTATATTATATATATATATATATTTTAAAAAAATTTAATTTATAATTTTAAAAATAATTCTTATGCAATTTCTTTAAGTATTTTTTTGGATTTAATTGAAATTTAATTAAAATTGTTAATGTCTATTTGGAGTTTGTTTAGGATTCTAATAGAATTGTTAGAACCTTATTGTTGCAATTTCTATTTTACCTTCCACAATTAGGTACTAGTGCAATTTTCAAAATAAAAAACACCTAGACCCATTCTCAAACAGAAAATGCTACAATTGCAAACACAGTAATGCATAAAAGAAGGCCTTCTCAAACTCAAGAGGCTGATTGTGAAGGTCCTCTGCAGGACCTGGTCGAAACAAAGGCCCATCCTCAGCTATAGTATTCGCAACCACAATTATTGAAGCAAGATTTTACACGCAACCCATAAACAAACAAACAGACATCCAAATCCCACAATGTTCGATCAAAATTTCTGAACGCAGTTGGCGATGAGAATATTCGAAAAATTAAAAGGAAATACTGATCCTGAACACATCCTTCCTGGCTAGTCGATGAACAGTCGCATTCATTCTTGTCAACATCGTTTGAAGCTCACAGGTCAACTTTCTCTGCGGTCTTCGGCCCTCCTTCTGATTTCCGTGCCAAAACCCTAATCTGAGCATTTTCCGAGGTTTTGGAAGCTCCAACGGTGTTCCTGATGTTTGAGTTTCTCGAAACATTGCATTTCTTATTCTTCGCACTTGGTATGTCCAGAGGTGGAGGTAGCCATTTCAATCTCATGACATTTTGAGGTTTTTGGAAGTTGGTGAAGTTTGGGAGAGTCTCATGGCAGTCTCTCGGGTGCAATGTCTGCGTAGGGTTTTACTGGAGTCTCGTCTGGGAATAGCCACATCGGGGACGAGATTGTTTAGCACGGGGCTGGAAGATGCGTCGAGTGGAGTGGGATCGGCCGAGTCGGTGCGGCCGCCTGTTGTTGAAGGCAGCAATGGAGGGAAGAAGGTTGTTGGTCAAGAATTAGCTATGATGAGACGGGAGTATGAGAAGCAGATGTCGGATCTGCGGAAGAAGTTTACCGCTGACGAGGAACGGAGAAAGAAGGAGAAGCGACAGATGGAGCTGATTACTCGTGAGAGGATTATGGTGGAGAAAGAGAAGCGGTTGGCACTTAAGAAGGAAAAATCGCAGATCCGCGCCGTAGAAGTTGCAGAAGAGATGAAAGCTCTTCGTGCTAGGCTCGTGAGTGCCATTCCCAACATTAATTCGTAATTTTCTGACATTCATAATGGTTGCTATTACGATCGTCCCTCCTGATGCTAATTTGTAGAGTTGATTGCATTCTGAAAACGTCTGAATTTGGACCCAAGCTAATTAACTGGTCATGTGTTTGTATGCCGTGAGTTTACAAGCAATGTCTATATTCTCGTAGTGGAGGTTTTATCAGTTGATCATGGCTCTTGGTAATAGAATTCGTCTAGTTTTTATTTTTAATTCTTGTAATTTCTGGTTTCAGGAGGAAGAGAGGAAATCTAGGGCAGCCCGACGGCAGTTTAGAGAGAAGAGACTTCTTCGATTAATTTCGAAAGAAAAGGAAGCAGTCCGACAGCAAAGTTCTATGTGGATTGAGGAGAAGGACTTAGAGCGACGCATATTGGATGCCTTAGTCGATCCGTTTTATTTGTCTGGTTCTTATGCGTTGCCAGATAGAGATGAACCCATGTCCATCGGTGATGATAGTGATGAAGATGATGAATAAAAAAAATGAGCAGGTGTTATGGAACGTTAGATCAGCTCACAAATCATCTTTTTAGACATTTATCTTCAGTCAGGATAGTCTACATGATTCATATGTCGACTCTTTTTATTACTCTTGGTGTTACTCTTGTTACTCCTTATCTCCTCTTGGCCTCTGTCAACATAGTAGTTGAGTACATTTGAGATATGTGCTACGTTCTCTCTCCGAAGGAAAAACAGCAACTATGGTGATGCAGGCAGCGTAGGGAATCAGCTACCATTCAGTTTATGGTTAGGGAGTACTTAAGTTAAATGAGGGACGCAACCCACTTGGAATTCAGGGTGTGCAGAGGTATTCAACCGTGGAAGAAAATCGCTGGTCTCGGACTCAGTCCTCACCATCTCAATCGGTTGCAGCACCCAATTTGTCAGCTTTTTTTCGCAAGAGTTGCTCAGACTAAATGCACGGAACTTTTTTTGCTGTTCATTTTTGGTTAAAATATCACAACCCTAAACCCTGGTCTATACGGGTTAAGGTGGATTTGATCTGCGCTTTGCCTTGAGAATTTCGATGCGCATGTCCGCGGCTTCGGCGATGGCTACGCGTTGCCGCTGTTTCAATTCCGCTAACAACCTTTTCGTGTGCGCCAGCTCCTCCTCGATCTCTTTTCTGTCAGAGTCGAGAGTGACGACCTGGCTTCGCAGTTCGGAATTCAACGTCTCTAAGTCGCTATTTTGTCGCCTGGCGGAGAGCTGTTCTGCTCCTGAACACGTCATGGGTGATTTGGGAAATAGGAGCACTCCCCTATATAATCAAATTTCTTCTTCCTCAGATCCTCTCGAAGCTTTTTGTTGTTTCCGGGAGTTCATTTGAGCCCACGAAACGTATCAAGATGCGCTGTCTCAACCAAGTTTCCGCTCATTCTCCCGCTTCTCTGTACTCATTTCAAGTACATCCCGTCTCAATTGGTGATGCAGAAGTCTGTGTCCTCTCGTTGTCCAACTTGAGCTTAAATGTGCTTCTATCAACCTGATTACGCCCGTGGCCCATATAAACAGTGATATTTCTGTAAACGTGATGGGTTATATCCTCTGAAACGAGGTTTTGCCAACCTTACTGGTTTTATAGAATGGTGTTGAAAGGCGAGGTGGTGCCAAAGGGCAGGATTATCTCGTACCCCCTTCGTCAACTTCTGTGTATCTGTGGAATAGTTGCACCTCTTCACCTGGCCTCCTATTCTATAACTTGGACGTTTCATGAAGGCTTGTGGTTGTCTCAATGAATCACTGATAACCTATACTTCAGAAGTGTGGAGCAAGTCTCACTTCTGAGCCGTTTTGGTCCTTGGTTCCATTGGAGTAGCCCACCTTGAGAAGAGTTGTATTTGTGACTTGCTTATCCTTACAAATGTATATGACGTTTCACATCATTCTAGCCTCAATTTCTTCCCTCTAGATTCTTTAGATTCTCTTTTACAGGCGCAACTCTGTGTTTGCAACCCTGGTAATTAAATCATGGCACAAGTCTACGACCGATATTGGTTAACTTTGTGGTAACTCTTCAAGAATCAAACCTGCACTCAACGATCCAAGTTCAGACAATTGTACGATTAGAATTATGTCTTCTCTTGATGTAGGCATCATAGGTAATGTAAACTCACACAAAAATGCTAGTCTGAACTTGAGAAACGAAACACAAGCATGTTCTCTGTCCTCGTGGGTGGGGCATTAGTAACATGTCCTGGGTTCTTTTCTTTCCTCTCGAAAAATACTCTAGAAGCCTGGAAGGTTGAACTGCAGATTGTTGAGACAGATGGTAGTGTTTGTAGTATACACTAAGCGCTCCCAAACTTTGCAGTAACGGTGGCTTCTTCTCATTTCCAGAATCCGCAGCCTGTACTGCACATGAGTCTTCCAAATTTCGTTAAGGAAAGTTCGATTTGAAACTGAGAGAGCAGAATGCAATCACTCGCAATTACTGACAAGCGTGCGTGAGCATTTCGTTAGTGTGGATGAGAAAATAAGCATCGATGCATAAAAATGCTGGAATTCTGCACACAGACCCATCTCCAAATGGGGGTTCGGCATTGACGTCACCCCTCCTCGAGGACTTTCAACCTTGACCTTTGCACCTTCCTTTAGGCCCCAGTCTGCTTAACCTTCAAACTTTCATAATCTGAAATTGCTGTGAGAATCAATAACCAAATACTTCAGAAATCCGCGCTCTCATTAGAAGAGTCCTGAGCTACCTTCGCATGGGTCTAAGGTACCGATGTTTTCATCTCGTAGTGAGTCTTCAAGGATCTCGGCAGGATCACAGATGTCCAGTGGAGAAAATTCTTCCACATAGCGTTATCGCTACAGTAAAGCATTTCCTCGTCTGGAACCACTGATCTAAGGAAAAGAGGCTCTAACTACAAGAGCCATGCATCCCGAGTTTCACATCGCCCTTCTTCGTCTCCAGCCTCACCCACTTCATGATGGAGAACATTCGCCACCAAGTCGTAGAAATTCGACACTGGAGCTATAATATAGACGTTGCTGAAGGCAACATTCTCGCTCAAAATTGGCATCTTAGGAGGACCAAGTGGAACTAGGTATCCATTGAGCCTTTCTCGTCCCCATGCCCGAAGCTTTGCAGGGCAGAGCCTGATGAGAACAAAAAAAACTAATGCTGGTCGCAATCATCGACCTCACCTGCACGACTATGTGGCCAGTAATCATGTTTGGCGGGGGTTTCTAGTCACGGGCTTGAACATGGAGCTTTTCAAGATCATGAATATAGTGGTGAACGCTGCGTATTCTTTATCCTCGATTGGCACAAGTTAGATCGGTATTCGAACCATTACCATTGTCATCACGTGGACATGCGAGGAGTAAAAGTGTCCCGAGTTGCACCCTCTTCTCTGCTTGTTCTTGCAGTCATTCACATCATTACAACATCACCATTCATACTCACATTTCATATTCAAATTCATTACAATAGGTTACACAGTAGACCCAGAGTTACAATCTATCAAACGCAAAACAGCACACCTGGCTACCTAGTTTAACTTGGGTCTTCTGCATTATCAATCCGGTTGGATTGCCTTCGCATAAGTTGCAATGACTAAGTCATCTAAACGGCTATTTGCAAACCTTTTTACTTTTCATCTCTTTGAAATGGACAGAAGCTGAGAAAGTACCAAAATTTCACGAGGGAGTGGGTTAGTAATCCTTCTCGAGTCACAACCCTCTTTTCGTCCCAGGCAGGAAACACTCAACCCACATCGAACCCCGTAACTTCTCGTCCGCACAAAGCTTATCAGATTAAATTGTGCACCCTATTGGTTTCAATCTGAAATCCAAATCCATTACCTTGGTCACTGATGAATTCCAAAAACCAATTGAGACTCTCAAGCCTTATCAACTTAGATTTTCAAAAATTCACCAGCATCGGCATCAATATCAAAGTTCAAATTGAGTGCGATAGGAAAACACAGGACTCTTTTTGTGTTTGAAATTTACATACAACTGGAGGGGGCGATCACAAGGGGATCCAATTACGGCATTGTCAAGATAGGATTTGCTAAGGATCACCACATTCATGTTCAAATTGTACAAGGCCAGATCGTTGTTGTGGAACTAGGTGATGACAGTAGGAGCCAGGTGTTCAATCTTCAAGACTCTTTTAACAGGGTGCATCAAATAGTAATTGTACGTAGAAAACGTCTCCCTGGAGGTTGTCCATTAATTTAGAATCACACTCGAGTCATTAACCTTGGAAATGCTACTCGTTTTTCCAGCAGGTTTCGATTGTCTTTGACGACTCGAACATTTTTGTTGTGATATTTTCCTCTTGAGGTTGTATAGGTTTGGACGGCATGTAAGCATTTGTTTGAAACGTTTGGGACTTGAAAACTGTACATGAGTCCACCGTACTGTGGATGAGCCACACTATTTACCGGATCTCATGGAAGTACAATTGACTGTCCGACCATGCAAACGCTCTGGACCATCGTTCGTGACAATTTTGAGCGTAACCCTAAACCAGACAAGTCTCGCATGGACATGTCTGCAGAATTCTTCACTTCACGGGCGTTGTGAGCTTGTCTCCGGTCTGTATCCTGAGGTGGTACCTTCCAACTTTTGGACCGCAATGGAAGATTAGGTGATGCTCTGCTATCAGGTGTCCACCAAGCGTTGCCTCATGAATTGTCTTCTTCAACCAGAAATCGCAATCACTTCCGTGCGAGTCAGTGCGGGTTTTAGGTTTCCCACAACCAAGAACGAGAAAGCGAGGAGCACGTACTTCGACTGCATGGCAGTCAAAGTTCAAATCGACAACTACCAACGCTATCGCATGAAAGGACAACTCCCAGCATGACTTCAAGAACCCAAAAGCTTCAAATGCTCAGTGTCTAATGCAGTACCTATCTGCACTTCATGATGAACTTTCAGCTTACCTCCTCGACACATTGATCCGGCTGAGCAGACATTCCGAGGAGCAAGATCACACTGCTAGCTCCTCTGCATTAACAAAAGCGAAAACTAGCGCCGCAATTCATGCACAGAAAGGTGTAGAATTAGGTACAAGGACTGTGGACAATCATTGAGATTGCATGAATTGCAAGACGAGACATCCTAGAGCAAGATTGCGTTTGAACCCACAAACCTCGTCACCACAAAATGGTCAAAAACTCATCGTTGGAAAGCGATCCAAATCCACGTGGAACCCAAAATACTGTGGATGGTAAGATTCTTCGGTAGCTGGAGACCTGAAACTCTAATCACAAGACCAAAGGTCTGGTCTTGCAGTCAGCAATCCTGCTTAAAAGTCTTCTTTTAGGGAGAACCCCTCAACATTCTTTTCCATGCAGTCCACGCAATTCTAGTATGAGTTTCTTTCTTGTTGTTTATGGTATGAGTGGTTGCCGCATGTGTCCTTCAAGCTCAAACGTAACCATGGTGTCATGCAGTATCTAGTTGTTGGAATCTGTGTTTCTGCCTTTTCTCTGGGTCTGGAATTGTTAGAAAAAACTATGAGCTGGTGGAATTTCTTTTTTATTTTTAGAAATTTTTCGTTTGGAAAAGAGATCACCTGATCTCATCGGAATTGCCATTTCCTCTCATTTATGCATGCCGTATGTAGTGAGAATTTCAGCAGTAACAGGTGCATATAATAAAATTGTATTATTCAAACACCCTGAGAATGAATTGTATCGATCCTGTCACAATTTTTTAATTTTTTTTTGTAATACTCTTAATATGAAGAGAAAAACTTTAGTTGTTCTTTAAATTATGCAATTCGTGAACACTGTTTGCATAATATCTTTTAATCATATCGAGATATATTCACAGCGAACTAAAGTTTTTCAACTTAAGTCTATTTTTTTTTTTTTTTAATGTAAAAGATTTTACATGTAATAAAGCCTCAACGTTACATATCAAAACGAAAATAAAATTAAACAGACATGTTCCTTGCAGAATGGTATCAATAAAAAATTAATGAGCTATGTGCCAAAAAAATTCACAGGCTTCATTGTTTAATTCTAAATTCTTATTATTACAAAAATGTAAAAGAATTTCAATCTTACAATTTGAGTTTTCTACATAAAAATAACTTTTATGTCCTTGTTAATGGCACTTCCAAACCACTCACAACAATCATTCAACACCTACCTACTCATGCAAAATAAATTTTAGAGTCACTACTCAACCAACCCACTGATTTTCATGTCATTCCTAACTTTATCTATAATATCATTGTTATAATCTAAACAACTAACAAGTTTATGGTTAATGATGAACCTTTACTCCTGTATAAGGTTTCACAACAGCCTTGCACCATCAACAGTCACTTTTAGAGATATCCTTTTGGAATGTTCCCATAATAGTCGCATCTCAATTTTTAGACTCATGTGACTACTGTTGAAGTAAAATTGGTGTGCAAACATATACAAGCTTGTATCGATCAGCTAATATATTTATATATATCTACAGTCATGGACATGAAAACAGAAGGTCTATTTTTGTTTATTATATGCTTTCAGCTACTATTTTAATTGAAAACGACAGACCCACCATGTTTGCAATGTTTTACATTCCAACCCCTGTCTATTGAGCATTGCATTGTGAGTAAAATTCAAAAACCCTCATAGCGAAATATGTGCGTACAATAACGTTTAAGAAAAAATAATTAATTCGCAATTTTTTTAGCTACATTTACGTAAAGAATTGTCTGTTTATTTTTTTAATATGAATCTGCCAACATTCACATTCAGTTGCACAACATTTACAAACTCAAAGGTTGAGATTTTCTGACGACTCTGACGAATTTCTGACTACTCTCTGACGCAGGGTAACATACTGCAGATATTTGATGGTCTTCACTCTTTAAAAGGGTCCCATTTCTTTAGGGCTGAAAACAGTGAACTTTCGTGGCATTTGAGGCACCATGCTGTCAACAGTTGTGCATGGAATGGGAGCAAACTTTCAGCTTGAGGCTCCGCGTTAAACACCACCACTCCAATTGAAGGTTTGTTGTTGAACACGTGAGCAAAACACTCAGCCAGTCAAATTCTCAAGCTCCCATTGTGTTTGATTCTGCTTGGCTAGCACACAACTCTCCATATCACAAGCTCATTCCTTTTACCAGTGCAATGTGTCCAACAACTGCTGCAAGCGGAGTCTTATTCAATTAAACAACCTCACAATGTAAAAGCCACACTCAAGTTAGGGAGAGCATGCATCTGAAAGCTCATGCCCACCCAATTCATGAGCCATGGTTGCATCAACTGGGTCCTTGAGATGGAATCAGAGCACTGATTTGTGAGCTTTGCACTTTGTACCAAGAGATTGATACATTTTTTAACATTTGAGTGACTTTGCCGCTGCCGTGTTGGGACGTGAGGGAAATCAGGTTTAGGGGTCACAATCGGTAGTCGGTTGAGCACCATTTTTTTCCCACAATGCGAACGATACTGTTGAGAGGGGACTAACCAGCACTGGCGATGTGGGTCCTGGTAGAGGCCGCTCTGCTGTAAGAGAGGCGTTTGAACTGTGGAGCTGGTCAGAAGTAGCAGAACGGAAGAGGAGGTTATCTCATCCTGTCTGCGACTCCATTGGTGCAGTGGCCTGTGATGACGCTCTGTGGGTCCAAGTGGGCTCTCCCAGCTCTCCTCCTTTCTTTTTTCCTGGTTTCTTTTTCATTTGCCGCCTTCTTCCCTCCGCTTCCACCATAACAGGGGAAACAAAAGCCCTCTTAGTATCACAGTCGCGCCTCACCATCGCCACCAGCACCATCTGCCCGCTAGCTCTCGGTACGCCACTCACACTTCCCACCGATGTCGAAAACTCGCACGATGACGCTTCTGTAGAATGTCGTTGTTTTTCTTGTTCTGTTGTTGACGCAAGGAGCAAGTTTATTCCTGAGTTGAACGTCGTCTTTTGTGATGGGAATGGTGGCGCTTAGCATGTTCGATGTTGTGCTATGCTCCGGCTGGGTTGCAAAGATATACCTTGTCCCTTCAATGCTGCTTTTCCCTCGCTCTAGAGTATATCAGTTCGGTGGCATTTATAATCGCTCAGGGGATTGTCACTTGTAAGCTCTGCATTACGAGGGCTTTTTCAGTATTGTGAGGTTTCTACTTTTTCTGCTTTCTATGATTGAGATCTGTAGAATTGCTGCTTACCCACTTTCCTCCTCCTTCAGTTCAACTCGCACATTGTTCATGTTGGGCCTTTTCGTCGTAGAGGCTCTCGTAAGTTAGTTCCTGCTCCAAAGGTAAATAGGAAGCGAGTAAAGATCGCCGTCTTCAACCATAGGGAAGAGTTCACTTCCAACTTCAAATGGAGGGTTTTAGTTGCATCTGGTTCCATGGGAGGATATTTGTACTGTCGGAGAGGGTATTTGATCTCTTTACTGAAGTCCCTAGTGACAGATACCCTCTCCGACAGATAAAGAGATGAGACACTGTCGGAGAGGGTGTTTGGGTCCTCTTGTCCTTGCAAATTTCATCTCTTTACTGAAGCCCTCAGTGAAAGGTGCTCTTCCGACAGGTCTTGCGTTGTGGTCGCTATGCTCCTGGCAGCTTCAATCCTTCGAATCGTGGTTTTTTTTCAATGTCCGACTTGAACTGTACCTCTGCCCTCAGTCGCTAGCTGCTGCCTCTTACAATAACCATGTATCTGCTTGTTGAATTGTAATATGAGCTAAAACAAATCATTTCGTGTTCTGTGATTCAGATCTGAGGGCTGACCGGCACCAAGGCAGGAGGTGCAAAGAAGGCAGGGATGGCGGTCCGCGGTCCATTGCTGAAGGATGAGCTCGACATTGTGATCCCTACCATCCGCGATCTGGCGTTCCTGGAGCAGTGGAGGCCATATTTGAGCCCCTACCACTTGATTATCGTGCAGGATGGCGACCCGACGAAGAAGATTCACGTGCCCGAGGGGTACGACTACGAGCTGTACAACCGCAACGACATCAACCGGATCTTGGGGCCGAAGGCGTCGTGCATCTCGTTCAAGGACAGCGCGTGCCGGTGCTTCGGGTTCATGATGTCGAAGAAGAAGTACATCTTCACCATCGACGACGATTGCTGGGTGAGTTTGGGGACGGGTAGTCGGCAGTGGGAGAGGTAGAGTAGGCAGCAAGGTCGGCGGCGTTGAGAGTTCGGTGGGGCAAGGCAAGCGTAGGTGGGGTTTATGGCATGACGTTATTTGAGGGGAGGTTATGGAGGGCGTGAGCAGGGTGCATTGTTGGTGGGACGACGGAGGAGGGGTGAATGAATGAAATGAATGAGTGAGGAAGCGTGGTGGGTGTGGGCAGGTTGCGAAGGACCCGTCGGGACACGAGATCAACGCGTTGGAGCAGCACATCACGAATCTGCTGTCGCCCTCGACGCCGTTCTTCTTCAACACGTTGTACGACCCGTACAGGGCGGGCGCGGACTTCGTGCGCGGGTACCCGTTCAGCATGCGCGAGGGCGTGGCGACGGCGATCTCGCACGGGCTGTGGTTGAACGTGCCGGACTACGACGCTCCGACGCAGCTGGTGAAGCCGTCGGAGAAGAACACGCGGTTCGTGGATGCGGTGATGACGATCCCGAAGGGGACGCTGTTTCCGATGTGCGGGATGAACCTGGCGTTCGACAGGGAGATGATCGGGGCGGCGATGTACTTCGGGCTGATGGGCGACGGGCAGCCGATCGGGCGGTACGACGACATGTGGGCGGGGTGGTGCTGCAAGGTGATCTGCGACCATTTGGGGTTCGGGGTGAAGACGGGGCTGCCATACATCCACCACAGCAAGGCGTCGAACCCGTTCGTGAACCTGAAGAAGGAGTACAAGGGGATCTTCTGGCAGGAGGAGATCATCCCCTTCTTCCAGCAGGTGGTGCTGCCCAAGGAGGCCGTCACGGTGGAGCAGTGCTACATCGAGCTCGCCAAGCAGGTGCGTGTGGGTGAGGGTGTGGGGGTGTTTACGAGAGTTTTTTGATATGAACTCAGTGTCGTCATGGCTTTGTGTAGTCTTGTTAGTGGTCAATTGGAGGTTCTTGCCTGTAAGAGTGGTTTTTCATTTCACGAGATCGTTTGTCCATGGGGATGAAAGTGTGGACAGCTTGATATGTTAGGACCAAGTACTGACGGAGGGGTTTTTATGTTGAGTAGGTGGGCGAGAAGTTGAATGGACTGGACCCGTACTTCACCAAGCTATCGGAGGCCATGGTTACCTGGATTGACGCATGGACTGAGATTACTGCCGCCTTGAAGGAGGGCAAACCGATCTCTAATGGAGTCGCGAAGTCTTCTCGGTAGTTATTCGTAGTAATTTAGCACGTTTGTAGGACAGTTAAATCAATCTATACATATTGTGTCTTCCCATGGCGCAATAATCCCAATTTTTTTAGCAGTGACCTCGAGCAATGCATTTTATCGAAAACATTTTATTCATGATTCAAAATACTATTACTCTGTTGGGTCGCATGTGTTGTTTTTTTCGGTTTATAATTTGTATCTTTTTACCGTACCATACACTTTTGTGTGACATGACAATGATTCCTTCAGCAATCAGTGGCGAAATGTTTTTCCTATGTGAAGAGGCGCTACAGTAGGTTCTGAGTTTCCTTCGGGTGAATTTCCTTACTAAATACACCCCCGATGTATCTGAGTACTTCCTTTTTGTGAACGATTGGAATATAATCTCGCTCGGAAATTGGCAGGTTCGACCTTATCAGCCACCTCCTTCTCGATGTGACACCCACTTGTGAAAGCTCTTGGACAAAATGCTTAATTTCTCTCCGAACGCGGTGAAGAGGTCATCAATCGTGACCGAGATCTACAATCAATACTAATAGAAATATAGCATCTTAAACATTCGAGTACTCTGATGCATTAAAAGTATGCATGACAAGAGATTAAAGTTGTATGAAATGCTGTAAGAAGGAAAGCAACCATGAAATAGTACTGGATCTTCCATCAGAGAGTCTTCCTGTTGACCATAGCATTTTTGTAACCTTTGATCAAGCCGCGAAGTGGTTGCTACAATGCCCAGAATCCAAGTCAGCTTTTCTGTCTTAATGAGGGTTGAAAGCATATTGTCCTCGTACCTCTTTCAAGCGCGGTACTATTTCTGTGAAGCCCATCATTGTCAAAGATGAACGTGACATCAGCCTGGGAGGAGGCATAGAGCAATAAATGTCGTAAAACCAGAAGCAAGAAACAGAAGCTGTGATGCAACGCGCTCGACATACAATATGAAGTCACCTTCCATAACAGTGGCTACTTAAGACACGGCAGACCATTCATCCTGGTGCAACCAGAAAACGAATTGCAACGTGGAGTGTTTACGTAATTCTTACATCGTGAGTTCTCTTTGGTTTCATCAAAAGGGCGGGGCGTATACAGAAGAATAAAACAATCTCCCCATTAATGCTTGTTCTCGACCGGATGTTGAAGCCTGAAGGGATGCCAAATTCCTGGTAGGGAACTCATTCAGTGCTTTTCAATTGCTACGCTGATAAAGTTGTGTCGAAGCCATCATCAATCTTTTAGAAACTCAATAGTTCCAGCTGCATAGCAGTACCGATTGGCATTCATGGTTGCAAGGCGCCAATCAACGTCCTGACATACAACCCATGATCTGGAATTTATTATTACGTAAGCTTCAGTTGGGGTAATCGACCACTTGAGGAGGGTGATACCGATCCGTCTTAATTGCTTTTTCTTAGGAGAGAGGCGAGTGAAACAACTATCTACACAACAATGTCTGCGATTCTTATGTAACTACGACGACATTGATATTCGTCTTTCTACGCTTTCCAAGCTCACATGATCATACATTTGCCTCTGAGCAGGTACACTGGTGGCCAGCTTAGAAAGAGTCAACATGTGTTTCATCACTGGGCTGCCAACAATTGGTACTATCAGCAACCGTTGCATAGATTTGTAATTTTATTAAATTTTTATGATAGTCGATGGAGTATCAGGGCATAAGATGTGCTTTTCAATCTCATTACTTAAATCTATGCGACGATTTGCTGCCCCACGTGTCAAAAAAATTAAAAATTAAATGACAGTCGAGGCTACAAACCAATGGGCTGTTTCAGCTCCATTGATACTCACGTCTTCATGATGATGGTAGTGCTGGTGGTGATATCACGTGCATATCGACGACCATGGTTTAAAAACTCCACGTGCACAGCAAGTGGGGCTGCAGAAAATAGATCATTCAACTCATCGTTGTGGTGCCAATTCGGGAGTGGCAGAAATTAGCTTTTGCATTCTATGTTTCACGAAAAAGAATTAACCCAATAATAGACAATTACATTATTAGCAATTCCTCCGCATGACAAAAAGAAACACTGCTAATTTTGTGAGCTTTAAATACTCACATTGTGACCAATCGTAATGCGAGCCCAACTCCGAAAATATGCTTAATTTAAGACGTTTGGATCTAAAACGAATCGGTGCTTTATAGTTTTCGAACTAGCAGATCATCTGTTTCTCTACTACTGATTAACTTAAGTGGTGGCTATCTCAATAGAAGGCTCACCAATCAACGATCCTCCTTGTAACTCGTCAATGACCTAATTATACTGTAATACACTTAACAACACAATGCGAAATGTAAAACCCAATTATTAGGCATTGTGTGCTTTGCTGGACGCAGCAGCGTAGAAAGATTACACGATAGTGAAGCTACTTTCTGTCCACTGCAGAATGTTATTATTCGATTTCCATCATTGGTCGTTTCAAAGGGCATAATAATTTCCAAAAGGAATATTCTAAGAACTACTACTTATCTGTTGAACAGTTGCACCTGAGCGAGCAGGAGAAACGGGGCTTAACTGTGAGCGTCTGGAGGGAACAAAATGAGCAAGATCAATTGTCGCCACCACCAACATAGCACTGAAGGCTTCACAAACATAGACACAGCCAATACCGCAGTTTTAGAATTTTGAGGACAAAATTAAATATAAAAAGAAGGATAATATTAAAGGTAAATTGATCCAATGTGACCTGACGAACGTTACTAAGTCATCTTAAGAATCGCTGAAACAAACCCCAATTTGTGCACGAGGATGATATTAAAATAGGATACATATCACTCTAAACCATTACATCTTGAAGAAATTGTTTTCGAAGAACAGAGAAGAATGTAAGTAAAAGAATTAATGTTTTGAAGAAGAGCTGCGGCAAGATCCAGATAAAGTAGTATTGAGGAAAATAAATGGAGCAAGGAAATACAATGAAAGATAGTAGGACAGATTTAAAGGAATTACAAGAAGGAAAATCGTAATTGTAAAGTTATTGCTATGAAGTTAGTCAAATTGAAAACCAAAATTTGGAAAAGGTTGTGATAAAAAACTAGTTTTAAGTGGCAATCAAAGATTAAATGATATGAGTTGAGCGTTGTATTAAAAATAAAACTTCTCACTTAGAGAGATAAGTATATTTTATACTGCAAATTTTGTTGCTCTAAAATAACTGATAATGTCAATTACTTAAAGAATCAGAATTCGAAACAGGACAATTCAGAACAATAGAGCGCGAGAAAGCACCTTCAAACACTAACATTAAAAGAGAGCTGTAAACACTCAGATAGGCAACCCTAAGTGAATCAGAATACCAAACACACTGGGGCTACATTGGTATGAGATGTATCTTTAAAGACAGCGAAGCACAGGATGTGAAAAGAAGGAAAACGCAGCACTGCTCAATGTTGGACACAAAGCGCACATATCCAGCATATCAGACTGGGGTCATCTCCGATATGCCAAGACAAACTAAACGCGTTGGCAATTCATACGTCGTGCACTGACAGACCAACCTAAGCTTGAATGCAACAGCTTTGGGATATCACAGAAACATCACCACCTACACACACCATTCAAATACTCCTCTGCACTATTTACTAATTCACACTCCCGTTTGAAGTTGCGTCGCTCTTCTTCGCCGTGCCGCTGAGCTCGGTCCAGGCCTCAATCCAAGTCACCATGGCTTCCGATAGCTTGGTGAAGTACGGGTCCAGCCCGTTCAACTTCTCGCCCACCTGCATAGCCGCAAACCCACCCGAACCCTATCAGCATCCCTTCTCACACTCCACCACCACCGACTGTAACTCTGCACAACGTTCAACTCTGCACACACCCCAAAGAACATGCACATGATCATGCGCGCACACCCCGCCCCCACCCATCCTTGTACATATCCACACGCACCTGCTTGGCGAGCTCGATGTAGCACTGCTCCACCGTGACGGCCTCCTTGGGCAGCACCACCTGCTGGAAGAAGGGGATGATCTCCTCCTGCCAGAAGATCCCCTTGTACTCCTTCTTCAGGTTCACGAACGGGTTCGACGCCTTGCTGTGGTGGATGTATGGCAGCCCCGTCTTCACCCCGAACCCCAAATGGTCGCAGATCACCTTGCAGCACCACCCCGCCCACATGTCGTCGTACCGCCCGATCGGCTGCCCGTCGCCCATCAGCCCGAAGTACATCGCCGCCCCGATCATCTCCCTGTCGAACGCCAGGTTCATCCCGCACATCGGAAACAGCGTCCCCTTCGGGATCGTCATCACCGCATCCACGAACCGCGTGTTCTTCTCCGACGGCTTCACCAGCTGCGTCGGAGCGTCGTAGTCCGGCACGTTCAACCACAGCCCGTGCGAGATCGCCGTCGCCACGCCCTCGCGCATGCTGAACGGGTACCCGCGCACGAAGTCCGCGCCCGCCCTGTACGGGTCGTACAACGTGTTGAAGAAGAACGGCGTCGAGGGCGACAGCAGATTCGTGATGTGCTGCTCCAACGCGTTGATCTCGTGTCCCGACGGGTCCTTCGCAACCTGCCCACACCCACCACGCTTCCTCACTCATTCATTTCATTCATTCACCCCTCCTCCGTCGTCCCACCAACAATGCACCCTGCTCACGCCCTCCATAACCTCCCCTCAAATAACGTCATGCCATAAACCCCACCTACGCTTGCCTTGCCCCACCGAACTCTCAACGCCGCCGACCTTGCTGCCTACTCTACCTCTCCCACTGCCGACTACCCGTCCCCAAACTCACCCAGCAATCGTCGTCGATGGTGAAGATGTACTTCTTCTTCGACATCATGAACCCGAAGCACCGGCACGCGCTGTCCTTGAACGAGATGCACGACGCCTTCGGCCCCAAGATCCGGTTGATGTCGTTGCGGTTGTACAGCTCGTAGTCGTACCCCTCGGGCACGTGAATCTTCTTCGTCGGGTCGCCATCCTGCACGATAATCAAGTGGTAGGGGCTCAAATATGGCCTCCACTGCTCCAGGAACGCCAGATCGCGGATGGTAGGGATCACAATGTCGAGCTCATCCTTCAGCAATGGACCGCGGACCGCCATCCCTGCCTTCTTTGCACCTCCTGCCTTGGTGCCGGTCAGCCCTCAGATCTGAATCACAGAACACGAAGAGCAGAATTCAGGGAAAAGGGGACATTTGTGAAGCTGATTGTTGGTGATTGGAAGTTGGTGCGTATTAATGAGAAGCAAGCATTGCCTTCAACAATCAGACTAGTTATGCTCAAATTTAGGTCAAAAGGGCAGGCTCAGTCGGATTGATTGGAAAAAGAGCCTCTTTTCTGAATGAGATGGACAGACGTCAACAAGCACAGAGCAAACACTCTAAACCACAGTCGGTGATGAAATACAACTGGTATTCCGATTTATCAGGACGGAAATAGGGGACCATGCTGTCGAAGAACGATAAATTGAAGATGTAAAATGGAAAGGAAACAAGATAACCGATGGTGACGAAATTGGTTCTACTCGAAACATTGAAGACTGAAATATGAGGAGACGCTCAGATCTGGCCATGTAAGTTAGCAGATATGAAGACCCAACAATTCAGGGCACTGTAATTTGTAATTAGACAGAGCACCCTGCTACAGAAAGGACCTGCAGAAATGTGAAGACAGTAAGAGCTATACCCTGAAAGACAGGGCACAGTCTAGACAAGTGACCGCTCTTCTGCACTGAGAGTGGGAAGGACGAGACAGCGGCAAGAGATTGATTGTGTTAATCATCATAGATTAAAGCAACAAGCTCCGCAAATGTGCAAGTTCTGGATAAACGCTGAAATGAAGCGGGTGAGCATCAAACCCCTTCTCGCTCACTTTACGCCCAGAACTGAGAGCCATCACTCCAAGAACAGCCAGGATCTCAAAAACGAGAATGCGATAGAACCAAACTCGACGCACGAGAGGAGAGAGACCCACCCAAGCCTCAGCTCCAAACAAGAGGACGCAAGACTGTGCAACGACCTCCAAGAAACAAAGACGAAATAGCACTATTGCAAGAGCTCTGGCCGAACAGAATACAAGCGTACCGAGAGCTGTAGAGCAGACGATGGTGGAGACTGGCGATGCAACGCAATGCGCTAAGCGTGGTGTGAGCCCTGCGCTTCTGCCGGTTGTGCCACAAGACGAGATTAAGGGGAAAGTGGAAAGAAAAAGTGCTAGAAGGAGGGACTTGAAAGCCACGCTGACATCCGAAACAACCAGCATCACCTGAATAAATGAAAAAAACAATAAATTATTTCGTCAAAACCGTCTTTTGAGGAAGACGAAAGCGGAGGAAGGGCTTGAAGCACTGGTCTCAGTAAAAATTCTCGGCGAGTTTCCGCTTTGTCCTTCAAGACATGGGACATGCAAAAAAGTTGGAAACTACTCCAAGATACACACTAAAATTAGGTTAAGGGATGGATGTCGTTGTGTCACAATTTTAGTTTTATCGAATTCCTCGGATAATCCTTCCAAAAGCAATGCCGAAGCGGTGAACTCGATGAGACTGAAAATCGACACCCTGAGATCAACAAAGTCATTTTATCATCCATGGTTGTTAGTTAATCCACGGTGTAAACCTCACAGCGTCAATCGAATCGCTTCATTCAGATTCATTACTCAAAGGGGTTTGTGTGCAAACCAGAACCAAAACCACCACAGCGTATCGTGTCGTTTTGTAGCTACAAGGTTGTGTTTTTAACCATCACATTGTTCAGATTTTCTTCCAGGGAGATTTCACATGCGGGATCTAGCAGAAGATGTTTAATGTATCTGCACTCACTTTCTTGGAAATTTATTTATTTAGTGTTTTCGGTGAGCTTTTAATAAGCCAGAGTTCATCGTGACTTTTCGTTACAGTTCTGAAGTGAGTAGGGACATGAACCCTTCCCTTCTCTGTTAAAACAAGCATAAATTCCCTAGCGTACAGTATTGCCAGACATTGTTTCAACACATAGATGAAGTCATTTTCAATGACGTGACTTGAATTCCACAATCGTTGCATTCTCCAACTTGAAAACATCTTTCTTTTTGACTTCTAAGCATTTGTGAACGACACGAGATTTATATTTCAACAAACTCTTTGAGTAAAGGCTAATGTAGTTTAAAAGTAGAACCAAATAATCACAGTAATAAAACAAGAAAAATACTTAAATTCTGTATGTCAAGTTTTAAGAAGACTTGCAATCTGTAAGTTTAAAAACTCAAAAAGATGACACTAAAATTCTTGCATGTAAAAGTAGTTTCACAGACAATACCATCAACTTGTAGCCCAAAATTTTAACAACTGGATGTTTTGGTTTTGAAAACAAACTTCTAAAATGTATTTCCAATCTTTCAGGGCTTTAGAGGGGTCTTAGAAGAGTCCATGTAGTTATAGACGAATCTAGATTCGAAAAATAAAACAAAATAGAGAAGTGATAATTTTAATAATAGTAAGAACACAAAATTTATATGATATTGTGATTGAAATAGTCTAAAAAAATCTGACAGAAATTTGACTTACTACCAATATATTCTACACAAAAGTTACAGAATAATTCAAACAACCAGAAGAGGGATTTTTGAGTTTATTTTTTAAAATAAGACATATAGGTTATTAATGTTAAAATTAAATTCATAAAAAAATTGAAATTAAATACTTACAAAAAAATAAATTATATGATTTTTTTAATTGAAATTTGAATCGCTCATTTGATTTAAGGTAAAATAAGACAAGTAAAAAAACCTCTAAAACATTTAAAACTCTTAAATGTTTAAAAGAATCTAAACTACTTATTTACACAAAATAAAATCTTTATCATTTTTAAATTTTAAAAAATTAAGAAATACACTCTTTTAAACAAATTTAATACTATAAAATTTAATTATTCAAATTTTATTCAAATAAATTAAAGATTTTGGCTTCTATCTTATTTGGTTTAGATTTTTTTTTTAATAATTATTGATATTTTATTTTAAAAAATATTACAATAAATAATTTAAAATAATTAAAATAATATTTTTTCTAATTTATTGCCTTATAATAACAAAGATTCTTTGAGTAAAGATCTTTATGATTTGTTTGTATATATTTCAAAACCTCTGTTTTTTAGATCAAATATATTACAAATACTTGTAGAAGATTATTATAATAATAAAAAAATCTCAAAACAAAATTTAAAGCTAAGAAACAAATTTTGGTTGTTATTACAATAAATAAGGCAACTATTATTCAACAAATTTTGGCTAATGGCCATGCATAAGAATGCTAATTAGCTATTAATATAAAAAATTGATTTTTAATTTTAGAATAAATATAATAGCTAATTCTATTCTTAAAATAATATAAATTAATTTAAAATTAATTATAATATATATATATATATATATATATATATATATATATATATATATATATATATATATATATATATATATATATATTTAAAATAGGTTTAAATAATATTTAGCTACTCTAAGTTTTATTTAAGTTATTTCTTATCTTATAATGATTTATCAATTAATTATTACTTTGTTTAGCTGCTCAGTATAGTATTAAATCATATTAATTGAATGTCAAGATTGCCTTTTCTAATGATCTTATAAGTATCAAATGTTTTAAAAAAAAATTACCTAATAAGTTTGATTTAAATAAGCAAATAAACAAATATAGTTTGTATTTTTAGTATATAAAAATAGTAGAATTTTATATTTAATCAAAATAAATTATATTATTTAGTTTAAAAATAGTAGATAGATGCTTGTAATATAATTTAGATGTTGGCCTAGAATTATAAAAAAAATATTTTTTTAACTACTCAAAAAGATGGTTTTCAAACAATGGACATTCCATATTTTAAAATTGTTTTTTGTTTAATTGATCCAATTTTGTGTATTAGATCAAATATCATATATAGTATAAATAGTCTCTTACAAAATTTTCAAATCTAAAATTTATCTATTGGCATTGCATCAAAAATTTAAATAATATGTAAAAAGGTATTTTTATTTATTGTATTACTTGTAGACAATCTTCCAATTGTCATATTTTATGACTATTTGGATGTTAATTGGCTTATTGACCAAGATATAGAACAACTTAGTTTAAGTTATCATTTCCTACATGTTGGTGTAGTAATTTCTTAGAGTAGAAAAAATCAAACTTTAATAACGTTTTTACATATTAAATATTAATTACCTTTTTTAACATTAAAAAGGATAATATTGGTTTTTTTTTTGAAACTTGTGTTTAATTTTTTTGATTTTAATGGTTATTAAAAGTTTTTGATCTGTCTAAAAATGAACTCATTGCAAGCTGTGTTGATAATCAAAAAACTATTTTTAAAGTCTAAATTGTTAAACATGTAAAAAATAAATATTACTTCACATGTAAGATGATTCAGTTAAGACATTTCCCATTCTAAAATGTATTTACAAATAATATAGTTGCAAGTATCTTCATCAAAAATTTTACAAAGACATGTTATATTTTTAAAAAGTCTTGTTTGCATCCTTTTAATACTATACAAAATTTCTCCAAGATTTCTTCCACCTATCAAATTTATAAAAATTTAAACTATCTTAATAATCAAAATTTTAAAACTTTAGCATATATCAATAATTAATCTTATAATTTCTCTAGATCTTTCATTACAGTGGAAATATATGGAATACAACAAAAAATAAAAAATAATTCCAAAGAACATTAATTTCCTAAATTTGTGTGAATATCAGACTTAAATAGTAGAGATCTAAGTACTTATTTAGTGAACACTGTGTGCGCCTTGGCATAAGTATGTGATCCTTCATTATGTGTGTAAGGAAGATGCTTCACCCTCTCTAAATGCTATTAGTTTTACGCTCTTTCAGAACATTGGGCAGCCTTGCTACCTTCTGATTATAAACTGAAGCCTGAGGGAGAAATGGATGCCTTTTTTGAGGAGTTGCCAATAATCGTGGTCACCTTCTACTATCTCAGGTGAGGTTTCAACTTCCAAGAGTTCGGTGGTTGTGCAATCAGTAGAACTCGGAGTTGGGTGGTTGAGTTAGCGAGCGTTGAATGGCTTCTGTATGTGGGTCATGTAGTTGGCATGAGCGGAGGAACTGCAGAGGTTTTGGGATCCAGGCTTTAAGGAGTTGATATGGTTTGATATGGTGTGCAAAATGGAACCTTGAGAAGCAGTGTCGTTTTTTATGCAAGTGTTGTGTGCTGCGTCAATACATGAAGAAAGGAATAAATCAATCCCAACTTTCCTCGGACTAGGGGTTAAAAAGCTGGTTGCTTGTGATGATTCTTTTTCTTTTTGGTTTTAGTTTTGGAGTTAAGTATATGCTCGGTGAGTTGTGTTGTCGCTTCGGTTGAAACTCAGGGACTCATACATGCACATTTGAAGCCTAGAGCAACAGCAATCAGCTTGAGTTTGGGAAGCGCATCAGTGTAAGATTACTTGTGATGGTTTAACATGAGTGAATCTAACTTTGAGTTTAGGTTCTGATGGGAATTGGTGAGCAGATGTAGATTGATGGTCACCTTTTCTGGTTATTTGTTCGCACAAAATTGTCATGCATCTGAAATATCTTGCAATTACATGCAGGAAGCTCGACTATCGATATTTCAATGTTGATGTTGATGATTCCTCTAGGGGACTGCCGATCGTACCCAACTAAATGCTTAGCTGATTCTCGTATTGAGGTTGTTAGCTTTCAATTCAGAATGGCTTTGCTAAAATAACCCTGGGGTTTGTTGACATAAATCCTCTAGCGGTGTATAATGACGTAACATCCCGACAGGTCATGTCACAGGGGAACAGCCAATCTGAATCTCTTTTCTGTGACTCAACAGTGCCGACATTGAGAGCTGTATAGAGTTTTATTTTTGTATTTGGAGGTGATAGCCAGTCTCTCATTTTCAAATGACATTGTACATAGCATGCATTAACCATGCAATCCCCAATTACTTTTGTAGGCTAACCGGTAGAGTTTTTATCTGTAATGTAAGATAGATTTAGATATAACTCTTTCTTCTCGAGCTGCACAGATTGCTGTTCGTTGGACATTTTCATTTTAGTCGTGTACTAATATCTGATATTACAAGCCAAAAGTCCGATGGTTTCATACTAGTGTGGGTGTTGCAGACGAGATTCGAGAGATTTGTTTAACATGTAGTTATCATTCCAGCATCTAGCGAGGAAGTATTTTATTCTTTCACCTTTTACCTTGCTGCGGCGTTGCACTCATTCAGACTGCAGGGGGTGTCTTCATTGGTGCGTCATCCTTTAGCGGCAGTTGGAGCAAAAGACCTTCAAACGATTCTTTAAGAAAGGAGCTTCATGTGTCCTGGTAGTCTTAGCTATTTTTTTGCAGTATTTTTAGCTCTCTGGTTTTTAGATGAAGCTGCAAACTACTCACTGTCTTGAGTGCACATTAAGACACTGCCCGGTCAAACATCTGCCTTGTCAAGCTGATGTTTGCTGAGCTTCTTAGACGAGATATTATACCACCCATTCTCTGCAGGTTCATCAAGGAGTAGGAGCAATTGTGCAAGTACACATGAATGTACTAATAGAGATATCTTTAGACTTGGACTTCATGCTACATAGTCAAAGCATATGAGGCTTCATAGTTCAAAATAAGTTTAGCCATAGTGTACACTACGGGGCTGAATGATGCGGATGAGGTGTTCCAAGCCATATTCATTGAATTTTGACAGATCCTTGGCATTTCTTCAACAATCTATTTATGGTGTGTAAGCACTTTGGTAACCCTCATTGTTGCAGAAGCTAGGTTCATTGACTTGAAGTTGTAGGGGGAGCATCGGGAGCACGTCACATAAACGTTCTGAGCGTTAGATATGAGTTAATTCGCAACTGAACATTCCATGATGTACCATGTTTGGATGTGCATCTGCTGCACGGAAGCTGCATTGTCGTGATGAAATATCGATCGACACTGCCATTCTTAAATCAAGCAACGTGCGTCTCTGAAGATGCAAGCTGCATTGTTGTGATGAAATATCGACCGACATTGCAATTCTTAAATCAAACAACGTGCCTCTCTGAAGATGGAAGCATTTGCACTTGACACACTGGCGACTTAAACAAAGAGGTGAACTAGGAAGTTGAAAAAAGTGTTGCTTAATCAACTCTGAAGTAAGTTCGAAGTAACTGGCTTCACTACATAGTCCACTCTTTCTACACAACAATTTCTATATGTTCGTCATGTACTCAAAACTTTGTATGTGCGTGTAGTTATTGATTCCTATTGATTTTATTTTATTATCATTGAGTTTCAATATAATTTCAAGTTAAAATGTGATCCAACATGCAAAATGTGTTGTTGATGTTTGGTAATCTGAAACATTGCATGATGCTATATTTTCATGTTACAAACAGATATGTTTTGTGTTCTAAGATGGTTTCTAATTGTATTTGTGACACATCAATAACAGGAATTCGGTTACTAACAGCGTTACTACAAATTTTTGATAACTATGAATACATAGATTTTGAAGAAAATACTGATTGGCCAAATCTTAACAGAGTTGATTGGTTGTAAAAGAAAACCAAATGTAATGTTCCCAACCTTTCACCTTTCAATTTCAGAGTTTGAATTTCAAACCTTGCTGCATGCTTCATCTTATCGAATATCATTATTGATTTTCATTGAAGTAACGAAATGTGAAAAAGTTATTTACATTCTAGTTTCTGAAAAGTGGATGTAACCAAAGGTCATTCCAAAACCTTAACCACGTTGCTTTTCTATGCGAATGCAGAATATTTTGTCTTTGTTTGGAAACAGTTAGTCCGGAATATCATCTTTAATGATTCATTTTTGGAACTAGTCAATTGGGCGGTTCAGAATAAACAATCTGCTGTTTTTTTATGGTCAATTGTCGGTCAAATAAGTTGTGCTTGAACCCCACATTTGTTAACCTCAAGAACTGGGATTCAACACCAACACTGACATGATCCACGCCCGAAACGCTTCCCGCCTCTCCGCTTTTCCAATTTCTTCTACACAAGATTTCCGAGTTCTTTCCCAATCCCTCTCGGCCTTTCATTGAATCTCTTGTCGTATCGCATCAGCGGGGAGCAGTGCCTGTGGAGTTAGAAAACGCATTCCGCATTTCATTGCAGACAGCGCCACCGCCTGCTTCAAGGATCTAGGTATGGCGCTCTGACCCATTTCGAAACCCCACACTTGCAGAAGGCATCGTTTGTATTGCTGTCTTAGCTAATCAACAAGTGAGAGTCAGATGCGTATGGTGTGACAATCTAATTTTGTGCCGGTGTGATCATGCTAGTTTCAGGTCCTTCAATATCAGTTTGAACTCCGTTTCTACTTGCGGCCCAACGTTTTGTCTAGTTGTCTTAGGATTGGTTCAATGCAAACTAGACAGACTATCTTCCTGATAACGTGTCCTTAGATTAGATCTTGCGAGCTACGAGATCCGAAACTGTGTGTGTTTTGTTTTACATCTTCTTACTCATTTGAATTTTGGAGTGCTGTCGTAAATCTCAGTTTCTTCTGAGGGTTTAACTTTTGCTCGTCGTACTTGGATGCAAAGGTAATTGTGTGTGAGAATTGACCATCGATTGATTTGAGTATTTTCAATGCCTAGAGCAAATCGCTCCGGAATGTTCTGTATACATCCATTCCCCTTAGTCATTTCATCGTGGTGGTGGCGTTTTCACTTCGTAGTTAAGGGATAAACAACCCATGTCGCTGCCAGTTCAAGCTGCATGTGTCTTGCACACCTACTTACCTGATTATGTTTGATAGATACTAAACCTATAGTGGAGGGATATCTAATGCATCATATAATCTGTGCAGAATTTATATACGTTTCAGGTCTTTCTTTGATAAATTTTTAGCAGCCTGTGTTCAACGGCAGTCATAATTCCTCTCTCTTAAGCGGAACACTCGAACGATGCCATGGCATGAAGTCTGTGCTAGGTTGACAAGGATGCTTTCTCGATTAGGGTTGCACCATTTCAACTGTTGTTTCCACCTCCGCTATAAATATTAACTCCTATTTCTACTAAAAAGTTTGAAGCTCAACATGCAATCCTCCGAGTTGCTTAAATTGCCGAAGTTAACTTCTTTTGGGTGGTACAAGTGAGTTCTCTCAGGCTATTATGTATGCAAGAAATTTTCACATAAAAAACCATTTCGTGTTCTGTGATTCAGATCTGAGGGCTGACCGGCACCAAGGCAGGAGGTGCAAAGAAGGCAGGGATGGCGGTCCGCGGTCCATTGCTGAAGGATGAGCTCGACATTGTGATCCCTACCATCCGCGATCTGGCGTTCCTGGAGCAGTGGAGGCCATATTTGAGCCCCTACCACTTGATTATCGTGCAGGATGGCGACCCGACGAAGAAGATTCACGTGCCCGAGGGGTACGACTACGAGCTGTACAACCGCAACGACATCAACCGGATCTTGGGGCCGAAGGCGTCGTGCATCTCGTTCAAGGACAGCGCGTGCCGGTGCTTCGGGTTCATGATGTCGAAGAAGAAGTACATCTTCACCATCGACGACGATTGCTGGGTGAGTTTGGGGACGGGTAGTCGGCAGTGGGAGAGGTAGAGTAGGCAGCAAGGTCGGCGGCGTTGAGAGTTCGGTGGGGCAAGGCAAGCGTAGGTGGGGTTTATGGCATGACGTTATTTGAGGGGAGGTTATGGAGGGCGTGAGCAGGGTGCATTGTTGGTGGGACGACGGAGGAGGGGTGAATGAATGAAATGAATGAGTGAGGAAGCGTGGTGGGTGTGGGCAGGTTGCGAAGGACCCGTCGGGACACGAGATCAACGCGTTGGAGCAGCACATCACGAATCTGCTGTCGCCCTCGACGCCGTTCTTCTTCAACACGTTGTACGACCCGTACAGGGCGGGCGCGGACTTCGTGCGCGGGTACCCGTTCAGCATGCGCGAGGGCGTGGCGACGGCGATCTCGCACGGGCTGTGGTTGAACGTGCCGGACTACGACGCTCCGACGCAGCTGGTGAAGCCGTCGGAGAAGAACACGCGGTTCGTGGATGCGGTGATGACGATCCCGAAGGGGACGCTGTTTCCGATGTGCGGGATGAACCTGGCGTTCGACAGGGAGATGATCGGGGCGGCGATGTACTTCGGGCTGATGGGCGACGGGCAGCCGATCGGGCGGTACGACGACATGTGGGCGGGGTGGTGCTGCAAGGTGATCTGCGACCATTTGGGGTTCGGGGTGAAGACGGGGCTGCCATACATCCACCACAGCAAGGCGTCGAACCCGTTCGTGAACCTGAAGAAGGAGTACAAGGGGATCTTCTGGCAGGAGGAGATCATCCCCTTCTTCCAGCAGGTGGTGCTGCCCAAGGAGGCCGTCACGGTGGAGCAGTGCTACATCGAGCTCGCCAAGCAGGTGCGTGTGGATATGTACAAGGATGGGTGGGGGCGGGGTGTGCGCGCATGATCATGTGCATGTTCTTTGGGGTGTGTGCAGAGTTGAACGTTGTGCAGAGTTACAGTCGGTGGTGGTGGAGTGTGAGAAGGGATGCTGATAGGGTTCGGGTGGGTTTGCGGCTATGCAGGTGGGCGAGAAGTTGAACGGGCTGGACCCGTACTTCACCAAGCTATCGGAGGCCATGGTGACCTGGATTGAGGCCTGGACCGAGCTCAGCGGCACGGCGAAGAAGTGAGAAGGCGAAGCTGCAATGCTGCCTGCGTAGCAAATGCAACGTTGTAGTAAATGATTTAGGTTTTATATGGCAGGAAACTTTTGGCCTGCAATCTTTTATTTTTCAGGTCCATGGAGTAAAGATGTTTTTTTTTTCTTGTTCAGTGATGTGTTAACTCGTGTTGCATGCCGATGAACACCTTCAGTTCAATTCCCTTGCAGTATCGAAGAAGGTTTGCTCTGCGCTTCAGTGGTTTCTCAGATCTTACGTCCTGGTGGAATGATTGCGCTACTTTTTAACCTTTTAAGCAATAGCATATGCACGAATGCTAATAAGAAACGGTTGAGGCAAATGGTTTTAGATCATTACTTGCAGTATTAAATGGCACAGGGCATCTTAGGAGAATAACAGGTTGGACTTTTGAGGATGTTGGAATCAAGGTGAAACTTTTATGTGTATTCATTCCAGAAAATGCAGTATGTTAAGGAAGATGGATGAGGTTTTTTCTTCCAATCATTTTCTCATAGCTTTTGTTGGTGTGGCCACTGCTTGGATTGTATTGTTGTGAGAGATTTCCTCGAAACTCATCGCTTTCTTGAGCGTCACAAGTTGACAACTACTCTACACCTTAGAGTTGATTCAATTTTCATACATGCTTATGAACATAGGCATACATACAGCATTCGACGACGAGTCTATTATTTTGCTAAAGAACACAAACGATGTCAAATTATGTAGAAGACCAACAGTCGCTGAAGGTATCAACTGACCAGGTTGGGTTGCAAGATTGGATTCTAGCGGAGTGTGTTAGGATTTGAAGCTGGTGTGCTGTGTTTTGCGAGATTGTAGCTTTCTCTACTCGCCGAATCCACCACATTTTGGACCAGTGCTTGAAAAAAGTCGTCATCCATTATTCCGTGGCATGACGGGTTCCCGAGCGTTGACACGCTTGCCTTGCCCGGTGTTCCTGTCCTCGCCCTCACCGAAAGCTTTGGTCTCTCTTGCTTCTGCAAGATTTTTCATTCTGGAATTTGTGTGAGGAACGCCATAGCTAAAGTCGCTGGTGGATGTTCTGTTTCTGAACGTACAAGTTTTTATTAGACTGTTGTTTACACCAGCTTGGATCAGAGGTGGTGTGCTGAGGATGTAGTGGGTCTAGCGGATAGCAGCATGAGTACAAGCGGTGAGGGATTCCAGCTTAAGACTTTGACCTGATTTGAAGTGAGCAGGTGACTACAATCCTACTTGGATGGTGCTCATGAATAGTATCTTTGCTTGACTGCACATTTTGGTGTGGGTTTGTAGCAAGGTTTGAGATTTGGTGAGGGTGTTGGATAAGGGTATTGGTAGGGGATTGACACATGGCCTTTTTGGGTTATATTTCACTTATGATGAGATCTCAAAGTATCTAGTGATATTTCAAAATATGACTTGATACTTCACCAAATCACCCATCTTGTAAGGTAGGTGATTTTGAAATCCAAATATTAAAAGAGGGGCAGGTGAAATATCAAAAATTGTCTCACTTGCCTTAACTCTCTTCCTTCTTTGATTCCATACCAAGGGGTAATAAAATTTGAATCAAAGGGTAATATCAAGGCTAATATCAAGGGATAGTAAAGTTTGAATGGTGATATTTTGGATTTGATGATTTGAGTGATTCTGGAAATATCAAGTGCTGAATCCTAGTTATTTGGTTTTGTAAAAGTGCCATGTTTGAACCTCCTAGTATATGTAGATAGACCTTCTCGAAATGGATCTGTTGAGAATTACTTGGGCTATGGAGAAGCCGAAGTTACCTTTGTAAGAGTAGCAATAGCAAAAGAAGTCGAAAAATACCAACCTAACTTGAATAATACCAACCTAACTTGAATAATACCAACCTAACTTGTGCTTTGTGTCTCTAAGGTAAATGCCCTCTAATTTTGTTACTCTAAGTTGCTTCTTTTTCCAATGATTTTGGTACCAAACTTAACACATTGTATATAATTAATAAACATTCTATTTGTTGTGTATAACAACATATTCATAGTAGTAGACAAAAAATATATAAAATAATAGTATAAATATAAATTGATATTCTCTAGAAATTCAATTATACTTTAAATTGCATTGGTATTTTCATATATTTGATTGCATGTGTTTATGTACTAAATTATTGTATGTTTTTTAAGAATCAAAGTATATAATTAATATTTTTTGTGTTGAATCATTTTAGATATGATAACAAAAAGAAAAAAAAAGAAATAGAAGAAGAAAAAGAAGTAGTAGCAGTGTATTTTTATTGAAAATTATGAAATTTTGTAAAATTTATTTTAATAGCTTTACAACTTGAATAATTTAGAAAATCTTAACAGTATTAATTGAATAAGTAATGTAAAATTTATGTTTTGATTTTTATTTATTTAAAGAAAGATAAATAGATAATAAAAAAAGATACTTAAAATTTCCAATTAAAATGACACATATTTAATATATCATGTATAATAATCATTATAAATATTAAAAATCCATGAAATTAATTAGACTTGCAAACTTCAACATTATTAAGTTGAATAAAAATAAAAATTATTATTATTATTATTATTACTATTTTCTTGTCTTTTAAAATAATATATATATATATATATATATATATACACTTAGATATATTTCAAGTATTTCTCTAACCTACAAGTTGTCTAAATTTTGTGATAACAGGCTCTCCTTTTTAGTTTACATGCAGTTTGAACTTCAAAAAAATGTTGGCTCTTGATCTCAATCCATGGCATATTTTGATAATCTATTTAGTATTATTGCCTTAGCAAAGGTGGTATATAACAAATTGATAGAAAATAGCTACATGAAGGTTCTCTAATGATCTTGTTCTAAGATTGTTGAAAACCAATGTGTTAATAGGTGGTATTCCATACTATATTATTCAAAACAGTATGCAATACATAATAATTTGTGACAAATTTAATTTAATTATAACATATATATAAATAAATATAGTCATTATTGTCTTGATCTTAAATTAAGTGAAATTTTGGGTCTTGTTTGAATCCTGTAACTAATAAAAGAATATTTAAAATATAAACTGAAAAACAAATCTTGCAATTAATTTTATAATCCAAGAATGTATTATACTATAATAATATTTTAGTGTTGCAACCGTTAAATTTAAACTATAACCTTTTAGTAATTTTGATAACAATTCTTTCTTGAAGATACTGTTGTATCAATGAATTCTACAAAGAAAATGTTGTTAAAAAAGAACTATCTTGAAGATGATCTATTTATACGTATATATATATATATATATATATATATATATATTTATGATTTCATATAAGTTATTATATGATTAGTAACTTAATAAATTAATGCTATTTTTTAAGTTTAAAAATATGCATATGTAAAACCTTATGTTGAAAGGGGATGCATATGTGTGTGTGTGTGTATATATATATATGTATATATATACATATATATAGCTGTATTATCTTTAAAATAATGTATTTTGCATCTTTGTAGTCATTTAAAACATTGATTTGTAAGTAGTAATAACTGTTGTACATCTTTGTTTAAAAATGAGACTTCTGTTATCGAAAAAAATTGGAATCTTAAAATATAGGAGAGCTGAAAGTAATATATTAAATTCATAGTATCCTTTTTACAAAATTCTGTTTAAATAAATTATAAAAATGCATGCCTGGAACCACATCTTGGTATTTTAAAATCGAAAATAATGGTTAGATTCTATTTTTAAATTTTAATTATATAATAGGTTTTCCTTTAAAACAAATAACAAAGATTGATAGCATTTCTAGCACGACGATTATTATAAATTTGACTTTTATGATTTTTTAACATCACAAAAAAGGAAAAAACAAAGAAAAAAACAAACAAACAAAAAATAACAAAAAAAAAAAAAAAACAAAAGACACATAAAATCCTAAACTTTATACAATTTGAATACAAACAAATACATATTGGAGAATCATGAAATGCAGGAGTTCGTTTTGTTGCATCATTCAGCCAGTGATCAATGAACAAATTGCAACTCAATCGCCATTCTAAGCATTGACAGCACAATTCATTTGTTGTTGGATAAAATAAAGCAGTAAGTGACTTTTTTATCCTTGCTGAGTAGGATTTCAGGCTTATAGACAAAACCAAGCCTCCTCACTGTTTTAACTTGCCCTTGCCACAAGGCTCTAAGAGCTATATGCTTTCATGCTTTGAATTGTTCGAATTGGCTCAAACTTACACGCCGTAGCATCGCTGTGCTGTGCTGGACACCAATGATGTTAGAGCAGGGAATTAGTGGTACGTATTTCCTCTTGTTCGTCGAAGTGTTATGGAAGTATATAGCGTGCAGGCACTTGGGTTGATAATAAGTACTAATTACTTGTATTTTGCTTCATTTGAATTTTGGTGTTCATAGTGCTATATTAGATTATGACTAATGTTGTAAATTCAATACTTGTGCAAGCCGATTTTGTTTAACAGCTTGTTCTACAAATGTTTATCTTGTAAATTCAATCAAAATTATTGTTGGATGAGGAGTATGTAACGTCCCGATTGCCTCTGTGTAGATGCTAGTGTAGGTGCAAATATCTCTGTAGCAGAAGCACGAGAGATTTTGAAATGACCGTGAGAAGATTCTTCGTTGGATGAAGTGGATTGGTAAAATGCTCAATTTTGATTAGTTTTTTAATTTCCTTCCATATAATATTCTCTTTTTTTGTCAATTCTCCATCATCCTTACGAGTTACAATATGTAGATCATAGTTGTGGAAAAGATGAGAAGAAAAATCAATCCCACTTGTGTATATTAATGAAATAATAAGTAATTTAATACATTGCATTGTAGCAAAGGATACAAATATTTTTGTTAGAATATCTTTAAATATAGGTTAAAGGATTATTTTTAAGATGTATATTAATAATTTTAGAATGTTTAATAAGTTGTGAATTCAATTTCTTGATTATAGAAGCTTTTAACTTTTTTGAGAGAAGAACATGTTCATGCTTGATAGTTGAATTATGTAAAGAAATGAAGATAAGCATAGGTATAGAAAGAGTTTTAAATTTGTATAGTGAGTGATAATTTTATTTTTATTATTTTTAATATATATATATATATATATATATATATATATATATCTTATTATTTTA